AGATAGATAGATAGATAGATAGATAGATAGGTAGGTAGATAGATAGATGGGTAGATAGATAGATGGGTAGATAGATAGGTAGATGGAAGGTAGACGAAGAAAGGCGATGCTAGAATGCTTCTTTGTCATTTGAAGTTTAAAATGAGCAACGCACACGAGATTTTATCATCATTATATTTCTTGCCCCGCACATACCCTTCTCAATCATGCATTGATTACAGTAAAATGTGCTCTTTTTTTGTATTATAATTACACTCTTTGCTATTCTTTCTATGAATTCAGATTCTCAAGTAATCACTAAATTATAGTACTTTGATGCATACCGTGATTAGATAAGTGGATGCGTAACTGGCGTAGTGCTACACTTTATTACGACATAGTCAACAATTATTACGTGTGTTAATTTAAAAATTTTTCATTGTATTGCTTTAATAATGACATTGCGTTCTTACTTGTAATATGTAGTTTCCATTCGCTTACTTGTACTTACTCATCAAGTTGTGCTCTCAATTGCACATCGTTGTTCGTCAATTTGATCACGCGAGCGACTTTGTTGTTGACTGAAAATTTGTTACTGATCATTTGTAACAAACAAGAAGTGAGTATGAGTCACGTTTATTGATTCCATTGTAAACTTCGACATAATAGCAGCCATTCAGGTAGTGCTAGCAAAGTAAATTCCATCCCAAGCTTTGTGTCTCCACTTTTTATTTTTTCGCTTTCTTACATCATCATAATAGCTGCTATGGATTACTTTACCTCACACACATTAGCAACTATATTTGTAACTATAATGATTAACGTCACATCACGTGCAGCAGTATGTGATGTGACGTTAATGATTACTTTGATTCTTTTGTATGCGATAAAAATTTATGCATATTTATAAAACGAGATGATAAATATATTCATTGCGCATTTGCTTCTTAATCTTTGATTACAGATAGATGGATAGGTAAATAGGTAGATGGAATCTGTAATATTTTTGAGAAAGTTTGTTATACTGTTTGCATTTGAAATGTGCCCTGTAGTTATCACTAACAACTTGAAGATCATGAAATGTCGTCTTTCATATTTTTTGCATTCTTTTTTTTCGATATATTTTGAGCTGCACTGGAAGATTAGAAAGAATGTGAGATAAAAATCTGGTTAATTGATGTTAATATATTTTGATTGATTTGATTTGATTGATAAAAATCAAAATATATTAATAACCAAACGATCTCTTGAGAAGTGCTATCAAATGACGGGATGTTTTTGCATAAGATTTTTTGCTGAAAAAATAAAAGTTTGACTACTTTAGTTGTTTGTGCTAATCAAATGCAATATCATGATTATGTTTGTTTCATTTGCGATAGTAACAAGAAACATTATAAGTCGAAGTATGCTTTTAGGTCTCAAGTGACTCTAGTCTTATAATTACTTTATTATTTCATATTTTTCAAAATACTGGTAATTATTAGCTTATAATGTACATTGATGAAAAAAATCGAAACTGCATCATTCAGACGTAAATTGTGATCCGTTGAATTTTAATATGAAAATGTATCCTCAATCAGTGTTTTGAATTTGTACACCTTCTTAATTGAATTGAATCAAAATTTGTTTCAGGAAACAAAACCCTCGAAAAAACGCTTGAATCTTGTCAGTTTTGTGTGGAAACATCACGTTTCCAGAAGCACTGCCTTATTGCTCTGGGAAGAAATGTATTTATTCTTGTATTTGCTCAATTACTCAATTACTTGATAATGTTGAACCTATTTATTTAGTACAATATATTCATTTGTAAACATTATGAAGTAAAATTAGGTGATAATTGCTTACATAAAATTTTGTGATGGATGATTTTGAAAAATTAATGTACTTGATATGATTGAAAAAATATTTTAAGATCATTACAGTGCTGTTTCTAGTTAGTTATGAAGATTTAGGCTTATCTTTCATCGGTGCCATGGCAGCCTTTGGTGAAAGAACACTGCTTGATTGCTCCCACTATGCATTATTCTTCGACGGTAACACTTGATGAAGATATCTACGAAGAAATACAAGGATTTAAAAGAGTACGTGTTTTTTCGTTACTTTTCTCATTCATCAGCAAATATAATTAATGTTTTAATATTTGGTATAGAAAAGGTTTATTGTAAGTACTGTTATGAAAATCGTGCTGAATTTCCATTGCGTGCGTTAAACTGTCTCCTTTATTTACAAGAACTATCAGAATCCTGATGAGTAGAAGTCGATCTTTTGTTTATTCTTCATGACTATACATTCAAAAAATTGTTCGTAAGAGTGAAATGGGAATGGGAATGGTAGTAATATTAATATTTTAGAGTAATAGTTTGGGAAAATGTTTTTAGCATTTGAAAAAATCTGATCAAGTGCTTTAACATGTCTGGAGTTAAGTTATTTTTTAGCGCAGTGAAAAGAAATATTGCGAATGGTCAGAATCTATTGCATAATTAATGCTCCAATTCCACATATTCAAATCATTTTTTAGATAGATGAAGAAAGTGATTTGAATATGAATAATTGAAATATAAATCTGTATTTTTGAAATATATTACTAGTTATCATTAAAATTAGACATGCTAAACATCAGAAATTCAGCAAATGATTCAAGTTATCAGTATGCAAAATTTGTGATGCAAATTGAACGAAAAATGAAAAAATGTTGATTTTGTAGGCGTTGGTATCCATGTGGCAGAATGAAGGAATGGATTGTCTGTTTGTGGAAACTGCGAAAAATGTAAAGCATCGTAAGCATATGTATATTGAATGCATTGCAATTCCAAACGAAGTCGTCCAATTAGCACCTATTTACTTTAAGGTTTTTAAATGTTCCATCTTTTATTTATATATGTTGTAGACATTTCTGTAAAATCAAATCCAGTTATAAGTCATTAGTATGCAAATTACTGAAAACATTCAGTCTTCATTTCGTTCTACTAGCAGTCGTCACAAAAGCTAAAAATTTAATCTTTCTGATTTATTTTGCATCCCCACAAACTTCTTTGTTATGCTAAAAAAGATTAGCAGTGCGCATATAAAGTCTGTCTCAGTATTGACTGGTAATCGATCTAAGCGTGTAATTAATGTTTATTATATCTGCATTAACTTCAAATTTCAAAAATAATTCTGACTTAGAAAGCAATCGATGACAGTGAAGACGAATGGGTAAGTAATAAGAAACTGATTGATTTGTGCAAACGTGGTGGAGACATACGGAAGGTTATTCCAAAAGGCTTCTCGTACTTTTCTGTAGATTTTGGATTGCAACCAGGCTATGCTCATGTTATCGAAGACGAAAACCGATTTCCATATAACTTTGCTCATGTATGTTTTTGCTTTATTCATTCAAGAGTATGTTTGGACATAAGATTTTCATGCATTATTTTTTATTAGCATTCAGTCGACAAATCAAAGGAAATAATTTCATTACAAAGATTAAAAATCAAAATGGGCCCTCTACTATGACTAGAATCTAATGTTGTGACAAATATACAAAATTAATACATCATTTACTACGGTTGTGACCAGTAATGATAGCCTCAATATAATGCAAATCAAAATGAAATATATAAATACGAATGATAATGAATAGATTACAAGAACATGCATAATCAAGTAGACTTCCAAACCAGAAAAAATTTGGCCATAACTTGTTCCCTCCATTACTTAATGTTGTATTGAGTTGAATAATAGTTACAAGTGAAAAAACTCCCTTAATGGTTCGGAAATACGAGCTAACACCTTCTAGGTAAGACTGCGACCGCATAAAAATGCATATTCGCGTACGTGGTCCCCACTATTAGAAAGCTGAGTTTGAAGAGAATACTTTCATATGACTGAGGTCCTTCGCTTCATCATTTTCTAGTTTGTGTTTTGACAAAAAGTGGCAGCTTGAATTACTTATGTAATCTATATAAAACGATTACCTATGTAATCTAAATTTTAATTTTTCAAAGTATATTTTGGTTATTTTTAATTGCTTGCATGCAGAACAATTCCTCAGAAGCATGATCTCTTTGTAATCTTTTAGTAGTGCGCGTCTGTGCTTTAAAATAATCGTATGTACATAACTTTTTTGTTCTTTGTATGAGTACTTTATCTTGCTTCCTGAATTATGCGATTTGTAATTTCTTCCTTGAACGACAGATAAGATGCACGAGTTTTACTTGGAAGTGTTTAATCCTAGGTTTCCATCACAGTACATTTAGCATCGAGTTAATAGCAGTTCTATGTATATTTGAGTTAGTCGCTAGTGCAAACATCTTCGAGCTTTTAAATGTCATTCATATTATCGTTCCGGGATGATAGATGAGATGACTCCAGCTTCCTTGTTGCACAAAATTATGTTTTCACTATTTCGCGTTGAAAATCCATACAAAACTTCTGCTTCAGTCTTCAACACTATATGGTTCTTCATAAATTAATGAAATATCTAAGGATGATTTATTGGATTCCTTGTATATTCTATCCATGCTTTTTAACGACGATCTTCGCCTTAAAATTTTCATGCATAATTGTTGAGATGCAAACACTTCTCTCCAAAAATTTAAGTTCCGTAAAAATAAATTTTCATCACAGTGGAGTCCATCTCGAGTTGAATCAAAAATATAAAATTGCTTGCTTCTCTTGTAGCATTTCAATGGTGCTCCATGAATCAAAGCAATAACTAGTTATGATTTGGCGGGCTCTGAGTGCATCTTTATTCTCGCTTTTTAACGGCGTCTTTTGTCCTGAAAATTGTTTTTATGAGAGGCAAGATACAAACATTAAGCAGTGCTTCATATCAAATTTGGATGAAAAGACTGATCTGTGTATACTCTTCTAGAACTTTGTTGTTGATGGACCAAACATAGCCTTTGAATTTTTCTTCATTCATTTTCAAAGTTGCATGACTTTAAAGTGCAAAACTTCTTTTACGAGTGACTTTGAAACATGTGTGTAATACTCTGTTGTTATAAAAATTTACACATATAGTGGATATAGCCTCCAAATAAGTCAGAAGTTCAGCGTATAAAGGAAAAAATATATATCATCCAACATGAATGTGGATGGAAATCTTAGCTTACAAGTGGATCTTCTCTCAACATGTTCGTAAACTCGAAACGTAATATGTTACTGAAAACGACTGAGATAAGAACGTTCAATTTGTAACTAATAAAACAGCTAGATGGTTCACAATTACATCCTACAGAATTATGTGTAAACACTAAAGGGTTTACGAGTGCACAGATCACTCCAAGTAATGACAGGTGAGTTTTAGTCTATTTTGTGTTTGTAATATAAAAACACTTAAAATCCTTACGACTACTGTAAGAAAGGAAACTTCATTTTGCATTTCAAAAGCGTTTCCTATTCCATGGGTTATTCTTACGTTCACTGCGCACTATCTTTGCTTGGTATACTCCCATAGAATATGCTAAGATCCAGTATGACTGCCATATTTTATATTCCTTGCTGTGCTAATTTTTTGTGTTTCATCTAGTGTAGTTCTTACTCCATGCTTCTGTTACTTCATTACTCATAAGCACATTTCGTAGTCATATCTAAAGAGTACTGTTTAGCAATGTCACCGTTCATTATTACCATGACATTGAATAATAATTCCATTCTTCTACAGTGAATTTATTTCATGCACCCTTTTAAGATTCATCTAAAATCTGTGTATTTTCTTACTGATTAAGCTTCTTTTAAAGCACTTTTTTCCTTAGGAAATAATTGGTGGTATGATGGATTTGGATCGAAAGCAGTGGAGGACTAATCAGTGCATCAGCAAAGAAGAACAACGAGCAAATACAGCAGAATTGAAGCGTCTATGGGAATCGGTGGACTGGACGAAAAATGAAACATTGCATATGATGTAGTTCTGAAGGATACACACTTTAATTTACTTTTATCATGTCATCAGTATACAGTATGATAACCGTGAAGGAACATTACTGTATATGCTCTACAACTGAAGAGATAATGTAAACCAATTTATGATAAGGGAGTTACTTTGTATGCTGAATAACTGAAATAATACAGACCCAATTTCATGACTAAAAGGATTCAACTAGTGTAAAAAAATTAAACTCATTTGCATATTCGATTAGTCCTTCTGCGAACTGAATATCAATCAGCAATTTAATGGTTGTTAATGCCAATATTTTTTGTTGTATAACCACTAATTGCAATGGTGAAATGAACAGTTCTGGACAAATTAACTTACAAATTTTGTACCACATTTAAAAAAAACTAATCGGGAGTACATGACCTGGATCACTATGAAGTTGCTAAGAGGGTACCGCTAACTCCTGA